GAAAATAGATAATCTTGTTTAATATATTTGAAGTAATGTACTTTAAATATGTATTAAATATCTTATTAATTTGTTTTCACACTACACACACTTATACCTGTATGTACATATACATATATTGCAAAGATTATGTAAGTATTTATTCGATATAAGAGTACACACTGCAATAACACTATACACACTCATGATTAAGTATTTACGTAGTTTATTTTATTTTATTATCTGTTCCGGGACGCATACGTCCGTCACTCTCACTCACTCGACTAGGGCCCATTGAAAACCAGCGTCACAACCTAGCCTTGGTTGTGACTTTAGCTGAATGGGATGGGAGTATAGTATTATCTAACTTGTTGTTGAAACGTTTTTACGCTGTTCTTTGTGTTATTTCTGTTTTAGTTATATTATGTATAGTCTTTGTTTTTGTGTTTTTTTTTATAATGTGGCGTTACAATAAATGGTGTATATTTCTATTTCTATTTCTATTCGATCTTATTTAGGTACATTATTACATGTCACTTCACACCGAAATATGAAATGATTATGTGAATTAAAACACTTGAAGGTATCATCATGTGAGTTAAAATATGACTTGATCAGCCAGTTTTCATGAACAAGATTAACTTTAATACGGACTTTGGGCTAAGATATCCTTGTGCTGTTTTAGATTAATTGAAGTTGGCACAAAGACTCCAACGGAGTTATTTGCGACATTTTGTTGGGGTTACCTGTAATGAAAGTTCCCCTTGTAGGTACCGTTCAGATTTCTCTAACCTACCTTTAATACAATATATTTCTGATACCGTTCAATATTTAGTCAAACTAACATTTATAAGGTTTGTTTGATTTTTTATTATTTTTATTATTCCAGTTACTGTTTGGTAAACCTAACTAATCTCTTGTGTTGTGCTACCTCAACAGTTGTTGGACCTTAATATTTGTTAGACAACAGTAGCCTTTTTTTGTTTATTTATTTTAATATACATATATTACTATGTAAATATAATGTATGGTTTCATATATTCTTCGGGATAACCCTGCGCACGTGGCGATCTACTTTAATACGTGCCACACTTTTATTTAAACATGTAATTTACAGTCTATCTAGACGTAGTACGTTACCAACTGTTCACCGATACACTCCATCAAGGAAAGATTTGCCACCATACCACCTTTATTTTATGCCAATATACTTTTACCATTTCCTTTTCAAATCTTTCTCTGCGTACTACCACTACAATCCATATGTAAAATAAAGTGGCTACACTATATATACATTACATAGTGAAATTAATGAAAAACTTATAATTATTTCGAATTACCTTAACTGCATAACACCAAAAAATATGACACTATTCATCTCAAATCGCTTACTGCGATAAACTGTCAACAACAACTAGCCAGGTAATAATTATTGGCAGTTTTCATTTACCGATTGGCAATCTCAGGTGTGTCATTTCTATTTGTCGATAAGAACAAACATTGAGATAACATATTTGTTTGCACCTAAGTACAAGTTTATATTATGCAGGTGACTATACTTTCAGAGGTGCCCTTATGAAAACTTGGGATTATTCAGACTCCTCATGTTAGAGCTTACGAAATATTTATTTATACTTCACATATTTAGCTATAGTGTTATTTTATACATTTATTTTATTATATATTTTACATGTATTAGTGTATCATCATTTCTTTTATATTACGTATTCGTGTGTACATTTGAGATAATAAATTTATTCTTTATGTAGCATTCAATTTCATGATTTGTTAGATTTTATTGCCGACTCAGGAGCCAACTTTCCTTTCAATTATTCAAAGGTTAGCTGGAAGAAATCCCTTTATGGGATAGGCTCGCCTTTGTGCAGTAACGTTCTATTTCTTTGTTAAACATTTGTAATTTGTTTGTGTTGTACAATAAAGTGTTTACATACATACATACATACATACATAGGTGCACGGCGTGCCTCCTACAGGTAGGTACTGATCAAAGAGAAAATAACCGGGATTTTGTTTTGCTACATGAAAGTGGAGTAAGCGTATACGTTTGTAATCTGCTTCCAAGTTATTTGAACGCATACTGTGTAATCATAATCATACAATATGAAAATGTACTTAATTGCACGCAATAGGTTTTTGTAAAACAACACTAAGTAATGGTTTATATTGACTAAGATTACTGCAATAAATATAACTGTCTAAATACCATATTGTCATAAGTACATACAATTTTATTTGCGACCTGGCACATATTTTTATATAAATTTTATACTCATGTTAATTGCAACAATATATTACGTATGTTATGTACATGTACATGTATGTACGTAAGCACTTCATACTTAGATGTATGCAGTCGCTTATCGAATGATGACGAACTCTGTTGTATACTCTTGTAACATGTAGTTTTTATAATAAATATTATAATGAAGTGAGTGTTCTGTTAGTACAAACCACATACATCGGATAGAACCACATAGGATCGAACGCCGAATTTCATAAACAGGTTTAATCACTGCCTATGAGTAAGTCAAAGACATTTCGGTCCTTCTTGCTTTTGCATATCGATAGCCTAAGTTGACACCAGTTGTAATTTCCACTTTACGTGGCACTCATACAGTTTTCACTCCTTCATATTTGTTGTTCTAATTACCTAATATATACAGGCGCTATTTGTTGTTGTGTAGGCGGATTTACCAATATTGTGTTTGTTGGAAACATTTTTACTTCTAGATGATGTAGGTTGTACTTTATTATTTCCAACACCACGACTTAATGATAATCATATTACAGATTTAGAAAGGACAGAATACCCACTCTTTAGGTGAAGTTAGTTAGGTATGTAATTAGTATTTTAGTATAGTGAGAACAATATTTACTTAAAATAACCCAAATGTGAGCTGCTGCTTACACAAAAATGCGATTTGCAGACCATGTCCACCCTTCTTTTCCAATAAAGAATAAAGGTTTGCTTTGCTGCACTAATAATGTAAAGTTACTCATCATAAACGTATGTTCGATTTTAAATTATTATTATTTTTTAATATATTTTCAAGATCTATTTTGCTTAAACTTTCTTTTGCTTAAAGCAACAAATCTACTCTGATTATCAATTTTCGTGTACCGTTACTCACACATTATGTGTAGTCGTAGGTAAGCAAGGTAATTTGTAGTTCTTAAAATGATTTAATTTACAATGCAAGTCAGCAATTTCAGTAAAGGCAGTACCGACTACACAACAGCTAGAATATTTATTTTGGTAAGTATTAGTAGGCACTTGTATTTTTACTTTATATATTTTGTGTTATAGTGTTATAGTGTGTGTGTGTGTGTTACTAGTTTCGCCAACGGTGTCAGTTCGTTTCTATCATTTCTCGAGCTAATAGAATATGTCAAGGTTGTAGTACACGGTGATATACGGATAATATGTTTGTGTATATGTTGTCTAAATAGACTTAAATCACTTGAAATCATAACACATACTTCCAATATGCAGATATTACATTCATATGCTTTAATGAAATGGATTCTAATCATTTGAAATCGTAGTACATATCTCCATTTCTTTTTTCTTTTGAAACAAATTTTAACCAAAGCTTATAACGCGACTACACCGTGAAATATTTATTTATTTATTTAATAAGGTACATCCACAGAATACATATTACACTTTCTTAAAACCTTAAATACTTATTTTAATTTCTAATACATATTCCATTAAGGAGTACACAACATTCGCAAATTATATGTCACATTATATTTAAAAACAATATCAAATTGAAATAATTAGAATAAGAATCATGATCAATATTCATTTAAAAATTAGGGATATATAATAAGGTTTTATACAATAATTTAACACATAATACTACATAACGATACACAATACTGCGACACAATGTATCATTAATTATTTATTGCTACTTAATGAAGCGACTGCAATACACTACGTCTAAACAAGGGCAAGGAGTCACTGAAAATGTCAACATTTGGAAATCTACTACAAAGCTCCCCATATGCGGTACTGATTCTATTCACAGGAGAATGAGTACCTAAATTAGTTCGGCTACACGATGTTTTAAAAAGGTTAGACAAAGGCTTGCGAGGAATATTATAAGGAACTGAGATATTTACTCGTCTTAAAATTTGCGCGGAGTCAGTAGAAGCATTTACAATTTTATAGAGAAATACAAGATCATGCAATTTACGTCTTTCCCTTAAGCTAATTAAATTAAAATGAGCCAATCGCTGGTTGTAAGGACATCTACACGAAATTCCCGGAGACATGAAGGCCAGATACCTAGTGAAGGCTCTCTGAATTCCTTCAAGCCTCTGAGAGTGAACGGTATATACCGGATTCCAAACCACACTCGCATATTCCAAGATACTACGAACCAAACAGTCATACAATAGTAGCTTGGTTCGCGGAAATCTAAAATCTCTAGCATTCCTTTTTATAAAACCCAACATCCTTGCTGCTTTACGGGCAATACTGTCAACATGTATATCAAATTTCAATCTGCTGTCAATGACAACTCCAAGATCCTGTATTTGTGTGACTCTTTGCAACATAGTACCATCAATATGATAACTAGTGGCAACAGAAACTCTTTTCCTAGTAAATTTTATGTGCTGACATTTGGTTGCATTAAGCACCATGCAATTAGCGTCACACCAGCGTTTAATTCTGCTTAAATCGTTTTGCATCAACTCAGCGTCTTCTAGAGTATCTACTGTTTTGTAAAGTTTTAAATCATCGGCATACAAGGAGAATCTCGAATGTCGTATTTCTTGAGTAATATCATTTACAAACACAGTAAAAAAAGAATCGGTCCCAGGATTGATCCCTGAGGAACCCCTGACTTTGCACAGTAATAATTTGATACATGTCCCCTAATATTAACTACTTGTTGTCTATCCGTTAAATAAGAGCCAAACCATTGTAACAGATTGCCATGTATACCTATGTGTTGCAACTTCAATACCAATAATTTGTGACTGACTTTGTCAAAGGCACAACTAAAGTCCGTATACACGGCATCCACTTCGAGACCTCCATCAACCTCAGTCATCACATCATTCACAAACTCAACTAAGTTCGTAAGAGTTGAACGACCAGTCCTGAAACCATGCTGATGTACAGAAATATAGGGATTTACAAAGTTTGTCACTATAGGACGTAACAACTGTTCAAAAAGCTTTGCGAGGCAAGACAGAATAGAAATGGGTCGATAATTTTTTACATCACTAATATCTCCTTTTTTGTGAACAGGAACTATCCTAGCCTTTTTCCACTCTTGGGGAAATCTACCATCCTGAAGAGACCTATTATAAATCAGCATTAAAGGTAGAGCCAAAACAGGTGCACACAATTTAAAAAATACAGGTGGTATTCCATCAGGGCCGGCAGCCTTTGAACCATCCAATGATTTTAAGCCTTTCTCAACTACCTTGTCAGAGATATGTACTCTTGACAAGTTACCAAATGATAACTCTGAATATTGTAGTTTAGAAGAAGATTCTGCCACCGTTGCGATAGGCTGTATATCCGTGTAAGTTGCTGAAAAGTGATTTGCAAACAATTGTGTAATGGATGGTCCTGAATCCGCCGACGCACTATCTAGGTGCATCACCGACGGAATGGAAGTTCCATTACCGCGCTTCTCAGAAACATACCGCCAAAAATCTTTAGGTTGTTTCTGGATCTTCGTTTCAATGTGACTTTTGTACTGGGCAAGACACAGTTTATTCAAATTGTGGCAACGGCCTCTCATAATTTTATACTCTAATCGGTCTCTTGGATTATTATACTTGGCATGTCGTTTTCTCAACTTTTTCTTTTCCGCAAGTATTTTTTTAAGGTTTTTAGTATACCAGGGAGGATCAGATCGAGATTCATTAACTTTTTTCTTAGGGACATGTGCATCTATGGTAGTGTGTAACTCAGCATAGAGAGCCGAGGTCATATCATCAACATTATCGCATTGATTAAATTTTTCCTGCCAGTCGATTCCATTCAAGAGCCGGTGTATGTTCTCATAGTTTGCCTTGCCGAAATTATAACACTCACTCAATCCAGATGGCACAAAATCTACAGATGAAAAACTAGTAAATATGTCTAAGCTCGGATGTAAGGGATCTAATCTGCTCAACAAATCTGGAGACTGTGCCACCGTAATCCCAGACACATTGGTTAGAACCAGATCAAGAATTTTACCATCAGAATTTCGAACACCATTCATCTGACTCAAGCCACTCGAAAACATGAAATCAACGAAAGTATAACCAATAGTACCACTATGAATAACAGGCAAAAACTGCAAACCATCTCCATCTGGTTCCCAACCAATGGAACTCAAGTTGAAATCACCGCATATAATAACATTCTCTATTTGCATTAAAACGTGACTCACACGGTCAAGAAAACCAGACATGGCCTGCAACTTAACTCCCATGTTAGATGTAGGCGGTAGGTAAACAACGCACAAAGCAAGCCTCACAAGTCTACCCTTCATATCTACGTCGATCGTGACCCATAGATCCTCTCCAGAACTTTCCCAGTTCTCTACTCGCCCAGACTTAACATCTCTAGAGACAGCGATCAGAACTCCTCCCCCATCTTGTTTCGAGGTAGCAGTAATAACTCTGTCTTTACGGTACACTACATAACGAGAGTCCATTATTTCAGAACTACGTATATTACAATTTAACCAAGTTTCCGTTAAGGCTATCACTTTAAAATTTGATTGAATAATATTATTATACACATCATTTGTTTTGGTTCTCAGTCCACGCACATTCTGGTAGTAAATATCTAACAAAGCCATTGAGTACAGAAACATCACCACAGCATTGACATAATATGAAGCTAAAAAAAAAAAAAAAGGAAATTTAATTTACGTAATTAATTTGAGACTTTCGTTGTTGCGTATCTGAATAGCTGGGGACTTTTCATCTTTACGTACAAAGATTCTGCCATTACGAACCCAAATGAATTTATAAACATGCTCTTTAGCCTTAATGCGCGCCGCAGCATGAATTGCCTTATTGGTTGGTGTTAGATGTTCAGCCACAAAGATGGGCACACGACCACCAGCTATACCAAGATGTTTAGAACTAAGTTTATCTTCTGAATTTTTCCTATTAAAAACAGCCACTGCAGCAAGGAGAGTATCGCGTAAACGAGGACTTCTAAGCTTTGCTACTACAGCACGAGGGCGATTATTATCATTGGAAATTTTAGCAACTCGAGTGACATGCATTATATCACTGTCTTCTAGTGGATTACCAACAGTATTCGCCAATTGTTTTAAAACGTTACACATATTCTCTGACCTATGTTCGGGGATGCCGTTGATTTCAATATTATTGTCCCGCTGATGTTGTTCCGCCATAGCAAGCCTTCGAGAAAGATCTGCAATAATTGAAGACGTCCTGGCACTCTCGGCTTCCAATTTAGTTATGATTGCAGACTTTTGCTCCATAAGTACTTTCATGTCTTCATAATCTTTACTCACAAAACTTATTGAGTCCTGGAGTGTCGACAAATCCTTTTGAATTGAAGTAAGCTTATCCTTAACTGCACGGTCAATTGCAATGTTGAGGATATCAGTAACTTCTTGCTTTATAATTGATCGAAGTCTTTCCTCCGAAACACAGCCACAGGTTTTTTGTGACAATTCGGCAGGTGGGGACAGCGGAGAAGAAGCTGTTCTTATGTGCCGAGAGCGTGAAGTGTTTACGTAACTTATTTCGGGGCTCTCTTTTTTCGACTGACCACCACGTTGCATAGAACGAACCGGAGTATCCTGGTTGTCAAGCTTCGGCTTTTTGCTCACACATTCAATGCACTCCCATGCACCCCTCTCGTCCTTAGTCATGCGACTGTATTGCATAAGAGATAAGCCGGCACATAATATATCATATGTTAGAGAACAGGTACAACATTTCATTTGCTCTTTTTCGGTTATTTTATTTCGACATCCACCACATGTAACACTCACAAGATTCTTTGGGCTCATATTGGAGTCAAGAATTTATTCTTCCAAATCAGAAGTACTTTTTTCCTATGGCGACACTTTTGTCTATGGTCGATTTGTCATCTGTCAATAATGAGGGTAGAAAAATATTTTTTGGTGGTTTAGCTAGCAAACAATCGCAAATTTCACTTGTTTTACTTTGATCTCCAGTAAAATAACAACACCACCAACTTCCACAAGCTTTGTAATCACTGTAGTACCAAAATTATAGCCGTAAACAAAGTATAACATATAAATTACGAAAATTATACGCAGTGCAAATAGTTCAAAGTGACGTGTTTGACGTGGGTGTGAGGTGAGGTGTGTCAAATATTATTAATTTTACTCACGTTCTTTGGCAGGGGCGCCATTGTGGCGTTTGTTGGGGGTTAGCTCAATAAAACAACGTTTGTTGCTTCACGTACACCTTTTTTTTTTTTGCGATACTCACCCGCTCATGCCGCTGTCTCGAGTCATCATGGCGGGAACGGCGGGCCGCAGTGTGACATAATTATATTGACAATTGTCTATGGTACATTATGTCTATACACTACAGTTGTAAACATTTTTATTTCTAGATATTGTAGGTTGTACTTTATTATTGCCAACATCACGACTTAATGATAATCGTATTATTGTCAACAACGCTGGAATCAGTTTTATAAAGGACAAACTAAACCACTCATTCAATAGTAGGTATGTAATTAGTATTTTAATATAGTGAGAAAAAATTTTTATAATAACTCTTTATTGCACAAAGAAAAGATACATGAAACACAAGTTATAAAGGACATATACAAAGGTGAGCTTATCTCTAGAAGAGATCTCTTCCAGCCAACCCTAGCCTAGGTGAAAAATGAAGTCTGCGGGACTAATTATTGTACAATAAAATTAAAATTTAAATGTGAGTAAAAAAAAAAAATTTAATAATATATATATATAAAAATAATATATATACATATAAAGGATGATGATATGATATGATATGAGATAATATATGTACATATGACAGACATACACACGTACATGAACTTTATATACATAAATACAAACATAAGCAGAATATATATTATAATCTAAACAAATTAGTACTTATAATATATGTCACCTATTAACTATCTAACGCGTTCGACAGGTAGTGCTCTTTTAATTTATGTTTGAAAGATGCCACCGATGGACTGTCACGAATGCCAGCAGGCAGTTTATTCCACATACGAGTTGCACTTACCGTGAAAGAGTTGTGGAAGAATTTCGAGTTGGATTGAGGATTTATTAGTGATCTAGTGCCACAGGTACGTTTTGGGCGGGAACTGGGGGATAAGGGAGAAAAACGGGAACATAGATAATGAGGAAGCTGGGGGTAATGTAAAATTTTGTAAAGGAGACAAAGAACGTGCATATCTCGGCGAAGTCGGATTGGTAGCCATTTCAACTTAGTCCGAAATTTTACTTAGATGTTAAATAAATGTGAGTTGTGCTTACACAAAAATGCGGTTTGCAGTTCATGTCTACTTGGCAAAGAAAGGGTGTGCCCCGCTGCATTCACAAAGTTGGTCAATATATATTCGACTTTGTTACTTTTTTTAAATATATTTTTTAGATCTATTTTGCTTAAATTTTAAGCAACAAATCTACTCTGATTATCAATTTTCCTGTACGGTCACTCACATATTATGTGTAGTCGTAGGCAAACATAGTACAGGGTCAAGAGCACGTCAAGTTTGACATTTAAGACAAATCCAACTCTATGCCGCTACGATAAGAACGGTCCAAAGTACAAAGTGTCAAGCTTGACGTGCTCTTGACTGTACCTACTTAATTTGTAGTTTTTAAAGTGACTTAATTTACAATGCAAGTAAATTAAGTCATTTTAAGAGTAACACACACACCAGCGTGAATATTTATTTTGGTAAGTATTAGCAGGAGGCACTTGTGTTTTTAATAGTTTCGACGACGGTTTCAGTTCGTTTTTTTCATTTCTCGAGCTAATAAAATACGACACGAGTGCAGTACACGATGATGAGCGGATGATATGTTTATATGTTATTTAAATAGACTTAAATCATTTGAAATCATAACACATACTTCCCATATGCAGATATTACGTTTGTATGCCTAAGTGAAATAGATTCTGATCATTTGAAATCGTGATACATAATGTATCTCCATTTCTTTTTTCTCTTTTCTGTTTTGAATCAAAACTGAATCTCGCCATTCGTCAGTCGCCATTGCAGCGGCCACACGACTTAGTACAGGGATAGCTCAATGAAACAACGTTTGTTTGTTTCACGTACACGTGCGATACACGCGCGCTCACGCCACTGTCTCGTGTCATGCTGGCGGGAACAGCCTGGAACGCAATGTGACTTGCATTCTCTATTGTTCATGGTACATTATGTCAATACACTACATGTCCCATCAAATTACACAACAACCAACTTAATTACATCAATACACGTACAAAAATATGCTAACATTTTACATTGTAGTGCATCATCGATGTGTGCTCTAGCGACTTTTTGCTGTGATGCGACGTGATTTCGATGTGATCGACTGCGTTCTAGTCCTAACAGCGTCCTGGAAACGTTTGCGGCTAAGGTCGATGCGCCGATGCGTGCAGGTTACGATGAGGTGATGGGGTAGTCGGCGGCGCCTCCAGCGATGTCTCTGTGTTCACTATGAATAGTCGTAAGTTTAAAAATGTCTGCATTTACTAACAAGTGGGCCTTGGATGTTAAATAAATGATTTATTCACTTTTATTAATATTATTATTTAACAGGGAAGATATTTCTGAGTACCACCAGTTTCTGATCCAGTATTTCCTCTGATGAACAATGCCAAGCAGACATTTTAACTAATAGAAATAGAAATCATTTATTCCTTGAAACACAGTACACAGGAGCATTTTATAATAATAACAATAGTAACTAAAAATAACGAATAACTCACGTATTTAAGTCGAATTTTTGCTCGACATGTTTCGAACCAATTCGTGATCCTTAATCATGAGATTCCGCGGCGGTGCGGTGACTCGACGGAAACTGCGCGCCAAAGCCCTGGCAGCCCGATCACTCAGTACGGCAGCGGGCGCAGGCGGCGTCGGCGAGAATTTACCCTCGTTTGCTTCATTTTTATTAAAGCTGGAAACCCGTGCGATTTCGAGACTCGGATAGGTTTCCGAGCGAGAAGATAAACCTGATTCCTACTACATCTTTCAAATTTGTTATTTAAATCAACTATTGTTCCGATTAGAAATGTCAAAAGTTTCCGATTGGCAGACTCGGAAGAGACACAGTTTCCGATCGGGAGAGGCAATCAAAATTAGGGATTTCGGCGCCTTCTTTCTGCTCTGCGACGTCGAGTGAAGTGGTTCCTGCATAAGAAATTTCATAAAGTCTTCGGCTTCAAGTTTCACCATTCAATAAATAGCGAAAACGTAAAACTTCACAACTTTTGTTCGACTGTGGTCGACATCGTGTCGTATGCTCAGCGGGTGGTTGGCACCCATATGGACCAGCGCTGTTCCCGTAGGAGGTTAGCTGCAATCTAAATTGTGCATCCAGTAACATTCAGGTCAGTGACGTATAGGTGCAATATCCTTGTGCCACTCATGTACTGTCAGAAACTCTTAGTGCAGTGTCCTAGCCCTAAGTGTACACAA